TTCTGACCACCAATGTTAAGGGGGTATAAATAGGGGTATAATAAAGGCCACTCATTTCTGATCACCAATGTTATGGGTGTATAAATGGGGGTATGTTAAAGGCAACTAATTTCTGACCTCCAATGTTAAGGGGGAATAACTAAGGGTCACTCATTTCTGATCACCAATGTTTAGGGGGTATAAAAAAGGGTACATCAAAGTCCACTCATTTCTGACCACCAATGTTAAGGAGGGATAACGAAGGGTCACTCATTTCTGACCACCAATGTTAAGGGGGTATAAATAGGGGTATATTAAAGGCCACTCATTTCTGACAACCAATGTTAAGGGTGTATAAATGGGGGTATATTAAAGGCAACTAATTTCTGACCACCAATGTTAAAGGGGAATAACTAAGGGTCACTCATTTCTGACCACCAATGTTAAGGGGGAATAACTAAGGGTCACTCACTTCTGACCACCAATGTTAAGGGGGTATACATGGGGGTATGTTAAAGGCAACTCATTTTTGACCACCAATGTTAAGGGGGAATAACTAAGGGTCACTCATTTCTGACCAACAATGTTTAGGGGGTATAAAAAAAGGTTACATTAAAGTCCACTAATTTGAAGGCCAATCGTTTCTGATCACCACTGTTAAGGTAGTATTAATAAGTGTATATTATATGCCACCCAACTCTGACCATTAATGTTTAAGGGGAGTAACCCAGATAGCAAGCCAAACTTGTGGCAGTGTTAAATTGTAATTCTTGTTAACTGGCTGCACACATTCCTGGCAAGTTGTAGACTTGCAGTATGGGTACTTTATAGGTTACCTGACACAGATAGGGGGCACATTAAAATGTAACAATGAAGACCCATAATTTTTACATACTTATACCCTTCTCTTTACTACAAGTTTAGTATTCTGATAATTACCTTTTTAAGTCCAACAGCAACAATTTTAGGCTTTGCCGACATTAGTGTGTACATACGATAATTATGCTTTTGAAGTTTAATCTGCCACCTATATAATTTATGAGCTTACCATTAATATATAAAGCACTCTAGGAACCAAAGTGTGAAAAAGTATGTGGATCTCCACTTCCCACCAATTTCTTTACAAACTGCACTTTTTCCTGCATGATGCAAACAGATAATGGCCACGTAAGCCTATCGCATTCTTTTCCCATGAACTATACTACTCAGTCGTCTACTAAGAAATCTGATAAAATGGCAAAAAAAAAAAAAAAAAAAGAGAGAAGACATGGGCCCTAAGTAATTATGTTTACTCAATGATTTCCCAGATATAGTCCACAAAAACCCCTCCCTTGTAAATGAGAATTGCAAAAGCTACTATTTAATTTGCAAACGTTCTGATTAAACGCAGCCCAGAGAGCCAAAACCCAAGTTAATCATTGCACAGGCTGAGGTGTATATGATATAATTAATTCGCATGACACAGATTAGCTATTTCATCTGCCCTAACACTTTCCTGGCTGCCAACACATCTGACAGCGATTGTAAGCATCCCAGATGTCTGACTACTCATTAACAACCTCATCTTTAAAAAAAAGAAAAGTCAAGACGATATTAACGGCATGGAGGTGATCCACCGATTGCAGGTAACAAAGTGGATCATTCTGCATTGTATCATTACAATAAGAAGACGGGAGGCCAATAGTGTTTTTTTACCCATGTGCTGCCCTTTTCCGGCTCTCTTCTGTTTACTCTGGCAGAGAATGGATTAATGTAATTAACTCCACACTCTCTCCGCTGCCAAAGGTGTGATCGAAACACAACACAGCATTGCTTCATCGCAGTCTGCGCTTTTACACGCACCCTGCAGATTTTTCCACTGTGCACAAGATAAATGGATGTCTGAAACATGAGTTCAAGTTTTAAGATCAGCTCAGCTCTTGCATTTAGAGAGGGTTCTTAGATGGCCTCTGGGTATGCACCTGCTCCAGTAGACCCTTTGCAAGCACTTTACAAGCGCCGCTTTGCTGACTTCTTTAGGATTTGTTCAATGTGCATCCTAGCCTTGTTCCCTGTAAGTGTTCCCTGCTGCATAAACAGAGACCAAGAGCTATGGGCCCAACAGGGTTGTCACGCGTGTTAACTCCCTCGAGGGGGTTCTAGCATGATCTCCTTGAAAGATTTCATATTCAAAACTGACCTTGGGATCAAACAACAAATAAACCTTAGACTGAACATGAGAATGCAAAGGAAATGACATTTTCCCAAATAGGCTGTCAAAATGCCTCGTCTACATGTTATCGTAAGGAACACATGCTGGCAAGTATTCCAGTTATTTTGTGAATGTAAGCATTGTAAGGCAAATAGGCTGGACTGAGACACCCCAGCAACGTACAATACCCTGACAGGTACCCACACTTACATCCTTATTCTTTAGCAGGACGATGGACTATTCAGGGCTTATTACCTAAACATTTTTAGATCGTCTTAGAGACTTTGTCACAGCATTTAAACGTTGTATTTATTTTGTCTTATCATGCTATGAACATAAACCCTGGATTTTGTAAACGGTGTCATGGACACTCATTAGACATCTGCCTTGTGTTGCACAACAAATGGTCCCACTTGCACCAGATTCATGTTTGCGACAAAATACTTACAAGTGCGACACAAGGTACTCCAAACATGGAAAAGGTCTTATACCGCCACTTTTTTTTATCATCAATATGGTGGCATTTCTTAATGAACTTGTTGCAGCCATAGCATCAGCATGTAAAAGGGACATGTAGATGTCCCACTGCACACCTGACCAATATACCCCTTTCTATTCTTCCTGGGTGCCGTAGTAACTTGTGGATGGCAGCGCATGGATACAAGTAGAAGATAAGTCACCAGCAAACCATTGTGTCTTCATCAAAAAACATCTTTATTGACATTATAGATCCTCCATAACAAGATTGTAGCGACGTTTCGAGGCCACGCAGGGTCCTTTCCTCAGGCAATGTGATGCAAAGTGTGGCACATAGGACCACCTGCATTTATTGCATGGATCAGAAATAGCAAGGAAACTGTTCATGAATTTGGACAAGACTTTCTAATATGACCATACTGCCAGTACAGTGTTGCAGATGCTTTGTTTTTTACTATGATTTCCAAAGTGACTTCCTAGTATAAGACAGCTATGAGTTAAAAAAAAAAAACTATGTCATGTCGTCTTGCTTAGTTACAGGTGCCCATCACTGATGAAAAAACTGCTATATACTGTGCAATGGCATCTGCTATAGCCTAAATGTTATCTCCTATTTGGACATATTACTTTAGTGGAGCAGAGTGCAGTAACCCATAGGAACTGATCAGAAAACAGCTATTTGTCTACAGAAGATCCTAAACACTACAGCTGATTGTTCACCATAGATCACTACAAGCTACTATTTATTATGTGATTTCTAATATTTATAAATATTAAGCAATTGAAAAGTCTGAAGTTCACTACAGTACACAGGTGAAAAGGAAAGTGGCTTGTCCGGCTATCAGCAGGGATACCGTTTTACCATTCAGCAGCCTATAAATCAGAACTCAACAATAAAACACAACTGAGCTCATCTTTGTCTGACAGCATCCAAAATTGGCTGAGTGTTATTTTAGGAATTCTGACAGTTGTAATAATGTCATACCACTCAATAAATTAGTTACAGACACACAATAATCTGTAATGAAATAGCAAGGGATGTTACACTAAATAGCACCAGACCAAGTTAAGTACAGTTCATTTAAGTACAAGGTCAACTCCATCAAGCTATGGACACTGTAAAAGGTCAGTTACCATAACATGTAATAAAGGGATTATATGTGTAAGGATGTTTTATATGTCAATTAAGTGATTTTGATGTTGTAATAAATAAGGAGGCATTGATAATAATTGTTATTATAGTGCAACTCAATGTCAACAAATCTATCAGAGTAACATACAACATAAGACAGAGAGAGTGAGAGGAGAGAGAGATGGTGAAAGAGAGGGACATATATGGTGAGAAAGATGAACATATATACTGTAGGTAGAAAAAGAGATGTAGAAAGATAAAACATATATGTAGAGATATAGATGCATATTTATGTAGAGAGTGAGGGAGAGATACACATATATATGGATAGGTGGGGAGAAGAGAGAGAGAGAGAGAGAGAGAGAGAGAGAGAGAGATGGATCCAGAGCAAGGGATATGGAGAGAGAGCGAGAGAAATATGGAAAGAGAGAGATATGGAGAGAGAGAGAGATATGGGGAGAGTGAGAGAGATGGGAGAGTGATATGGAGAGAGAGAGAGTAAGAGATATGATAAGAGAGCTAGAGATATGGAACGTTATAAAAGATACTATAATGTATGTGGAGAGAAAGAAATGGAGGAAGCAAGAAATATGGAGAGAGATGTGAACAGAGAGCAAGTGAAAGATATGGAGAGATATGGAGCCAGAGAAAGATGACAAGAAATATGGAGAGAGCGAGCAATATGTAGAGAGCGAGATAAAGATATGGAGATAGAGAGCTACTAAGACAGAGATATGGAGAGTGAGAGATATGGGGAGAGAGTGATATATAGAGAGACCAAGAGATGTGGAAAGACCTATGGAAAGATAGAGATATGGAGAGAGAGAGTGTGAGCTATATGGAGAGAAAGAGAAATGGAGAGAGCAATGGAGAGAGAGATGGAGGGAGAGAGAAAGAGAGAGGGATATGAATAGAGAGATGGAGAGAGCAATAGAGAAAGAGAGAGAGATAGCGAGAGCAAGACAGATATGGAGAGAGAGCAAGGACAGATATTGAAAGAGAGAGATATGATGAGAGATGGAGGGAGGGGAAGAGAGAGAGAGAGACATTTAGAGTATATGCTTTATTGTATTAGTAAAAATCTAATTTACAAGTTGTGGGTGAGGATTCTCTAGGTATCATCTAATTTATGAATACCTAGATCATGCTTGTGTTGTGACAAGATAACACAAGGGTCCCCAGCGTCTGAATAAAACAAGATAATAGAGCCCCGTGACTTACCGTTCAGGGATCTGAAACTTCTGACCGTGTTCCCGTCCTTTAGAGGCAGCTGATGCCTCGAACTGTCTCTGCCCCTTCTTCCACCACCTCGATATTTATCATAGAGTCTAAGCATATGCTCGGACACCGTGTCCCCAATAGGCAAGAGCGCTTCTTCGTGCCTGCGAGAATCACCTGCTCCTAGCCGGGTCCCTGAGCCAGAGCTCCTTATGCCAACCAGACCTTCCTTCCAGAGTTCTCCAAGACACAAGCAGCTGCTGCAACCCAACCACAGCAAGAGCCAAAGGGGGCACTCTGTAGCCATCATCTCCAGAGAGTGTCCCAGCAAGACGGCTACAGGAGGAATGCGCTAAGGTCGACACTACAGTGCTGCTCGGCTGGTCTAGTGGTGATAACGGACTACTTTATTCATTGAGCATCCACAAGTGTCCAGTAAGAAGGAGACGGGTCAGAGATGGGCTCACAAGGCAGTGTGCAATGTCTGTAGAGGAAGGCGTTATGTGAACATAGTGAGTGTCAGGATGATGATGATCAGTCCTCAGTGTCTGTGCTTTCTCTTGCCAGGACTTTAGAGTGCTGTGAGAGGCGCTGCTTGGCCGTGCTTTTGTGTGCGATCTCAGGGCTGATCCCATCTAGTATGCAGCCAATCACAGCTCTCCGCTCCGACCAACCTGCACAGCTCGCAGCCAGCGGAGTCCAGAGCGCAGAGCTGTCTGCCGGGGCCGGTGCTGCTGCTATGTGAGCTTAGTGCGGCTCCTCTGCTTTCATACTACCATCCACTCCTCCCAGCTCCACCTATTACACAGGGTGCTACCCAACCCTTCATTCTAACATCCTACAACACAACACTACACTTGTCCATTTCTGATCACCTGTCATTTCTGCACAGTCCCATAGCAGGCAAGCTGATATTTTACCTTTGCTACAGCTGCTTTGTATAGGGGTTCCTGTTTGCAAGTTAAGCCTCATTCGCACATGATCCTGCCTGCATATGCAAAACGTTTGCGGTGCCGTTGATGGCACCCCAAACGCGTGTTCTCAAAAACCTGCAAGAATGCAGGCAAAATTCACAGCTCAGACAGCTGCATGAGCTTCTTTGCCGCGTTGGTTAAGCATAGCGAAGCCCACTGAAATAAATGTGCTGCCCCATGTGGACACAGGACAAAATGATGTGGGCAGGGGCGTCCCGAGGCCGGGTGTCACCCAGAGCGGTTATCGGGTGACACCCCACGATGACGTCATCGTGCAATGCGCGGCGATCTTATTGATACCTTGGTGATGGACGCTGGCAGAGAGAGGAGGGCACAGTCACCCGGTGGGATAAGGTATGCTGCCGGGTCCCCTCCTGTCTCCCGAAATTGTCGGGCGCTCTGTCCATGACCGAGTGCCCGACTTTTCAGAGGGGGGGTGACACTAAAATGACTGTCAGTTATTTTGGTGTCAGCCCTCCAATGGTTAAATGGAGAAGCCTTCAGCACACCTTACAGCAGTCCAGGTCTATATAGAATGTGGTGCTCGCAATGACAATCACGGATGGCGCCGTGCAGACTCAGAGTATAGATACGTTTTTCTGCCCTGAGGTAGGGACCATGTGTGGTTCCGAAACGTTGGCTTGCTGTTACTGTGACATTTATGTCCAATTAAATGGACATGTTTGATGATATCTTTGAGTGCTGGTGATTTGTATCTTAGCCCTCCAATGGTGTCACCCAGGTGCGGGCCACACCATCCAGACCCACCTGTGACGGCACTGGATGTGGGCCAAGGGTAAAAATCCTTTCTAGCCCAGAGCAGGGTTATACATAGAACACTATTGTCACATGACACTATGATGTACCTGGTTCTTCCATCCGGTCTATTTCAGGAATCAGTTGGCAGCATTAAAGAAGAGTGAAAATGCACTCTTCCCAAAACTAAAGGTGCCCACACACTGTACGATTCTCGTACGAGAATCGCGGGTAATCCCGCGATTGTACGAGAATCGTACAATGTGTATGGAAGGGGTGCGACCGTTTCTACTGTACGGTCGTACGTCTTCCTTCGAACAAGTGGCCTGCTTGTTCGACAACTGCCGAACGGGCCGGTGTGCGCACGCGCACACTGCCCGTTTGCAGTGATCGGAAGCCCGCCCCTCACTGCGGTCATCGGGTACAGCTGGCTCTGCCTTTAGATAGGCAGAGCCAGCTAGCATTAACGCAGCTAGGCGGATCTCGATATCGATGTCGGGATCCGCTCCGGCTGCGGCCGTCTCAGTATACCGCAAGCTGTAGCTCGCGGTATACTGACCTTATGGTAACGGGACGACTCTACTTTGTGTCCTCCCGTTACCCCAAGGAGAACTATGGGGAAAAAAACTGACCCCATAGTTCTCCTTTAAAAAGTTAACCCTTGCAGTGGGGCTACCCCTTCACTACAGGGGTTCACTGCTAATTTTTTCTTTAGGGGCCGGAATACAGACGATATATCCACCTGATCCTCGGTCCTGCGGCAGTGAGTGCTACAATTGGTAAGTGCTCGTTTTGGTCTAAGGTCTAAATTAAAAAATACTCACCCGATCCTCGGTCCCACCTGGCTGTTAGACCAGTCGCCACGTCCTCTTCTCCACCAGGCACCAGCGGTCTAAGCTCCATTTAGATCATTACGTCTAATACGGTCCATTCACCTGCATTAGATGTGAAGATGTTGAGGAACGTTTAGTAGCCGGAGTGGAGGGGAAGAGAGCTGAGCATTGACTGCTGCGGACTAAGGATAAGGTGAGTAATACAGTTTTATTTGAGCCCCCTAGACAAAATGAGCACTTAAGTTTTCACTTTACCTGGATTTCGTCTTAAAATGTTTACCCAAGCACTTACAGTCATCATGTTTCCAAACAGCTGGCTCCAACTTTCTCAGCTTAGCTTCCCTGAACTTCCTGTCCAGTACAAGATCACAAGGGACAGAGCAGTCTCCGGGGCTGTCCATCTACTAGCTAGGAGCAGGGGGGTGACTTGCCTTTTCATGGTGTGCCTGTGTGTTTGTGGAGACACACACAACTTACTAGCACACACAATGGTGGCTCCATAAAACAGGATATCAGGGCTACTGCTCAGGGGACCAGATGTTTCTTTTAAACATCAAGGAGCAGCATCCATTATAAGTGATTTAATCAGCATTTGAAACAGCTGAAAGAACATTTTGACTTTAATATCACTTTAACTCGGAATAAATGTCAGTTAAAGTACCGCAGCGCTGAATACTGAAAAATGGCCTGGATGGGAAGGGGGTTTAACACCGCGGATGTCAACTGGTTAAGATTGGTAGAGCGCCTCTGATGATAAAATTCAACTTGCTATTACCTTCACTGTGTTGACGGGTTTTGGATGTCGGCATCAGTTTAACATTCAGAATTTATTGAGCATTTGACCTGCAGTTGACCTCATTCTGAACTGCATTCAACCTACTTCAAGTAGGTTTTGCATTCCCATAGTATTGTATTGATCTGACACAAACAATAACCCATAGACATGGGTCCTTATTCTGGTCCTGCAACATTTTTCTTTTTCTGCTGTTGTTAAAAATAAAAACACAGCTGTTGTTTATGACACCCATTGCTTTTGCAATCTAGATGTCATTCAGTTAGGGTTTACATGTACTTTAACCACTTGCGGGCCAGGCCATTTTTTAGTATTTAGCGCTGCAGTACTTTGATTTACATTTATTCTGTCATGCAACGCTGTACTGAAATGAATTTTATACCCTTTTTGGGGACAGATAGAGCTTTCGTTTGGTGGTATTTTTTTTTTTACTATATTAAGGAAAAATGACTGAAAACTTTGAAGAAAAAAAAGTTTTTTTTCTACATTTTGTTATGAAACATTTCTTATTACCCATTTTTTTAGTAAAATATAAAAGATGCGTTCACGTCAGGTAAATAGACACCAAACACGTCAAGCTTTAAAATTGCACGCACCTGCTAAATTGCAAAAAACTACCATACCCAAAATTGACCATAGGTGATGCTTTAAAAGCTTTTACGGCTCATCAGTTTAGTGTTATCAGTGATTGATGGCCCTAGAATTATTGCTCTCACTGTGATGTTTGCGTCGATATATAACATGTGCAACGTAATGGGCGCAATCGTCATTTTCGCACTTATGCATGCTCTATCTGTCCCCAAAAAATGGTATAAAATTCATTTCAGTACAGCGTTGCATGACGGAATAAACGTCAGTCAAAGTATTGCAGCGCTGAATACTGAAAAATGGCCTGGCCAGGAAGGGGGTCTAAACACCTGGTCTTGAAGTGGTTAAAAACAAATTGTGTTTTTTTTAATTCTTTTTCATGTGTGACTTTAATTTTTGCAACTGTAATTTTTTTCCCACTTAACTTTATTATTATCACACAGGGGGCTAAGAAATCCCCCTGTGTGATAGCAAAGATATGTGACAGGTCCTCTTTATGGAGACATCAGGGGTCTCCAAGACCCCTAATGTCACCTAGGACCCCCCCCAAAGAAGCTGATGAAACAGAGATCTGCTTTATCAGCTTCTCTCCAGCTCCTGAAGCTGGAGAGTGACACAAGAATGCAGAAGTGATGTATTATACATCACCTCCGCATTCTGACAACGGAAAGGGGACTGCATTGGGATCGTGAACCGACCTTCCTCTGATCCCCTGTCAGAGAGCCACCATGCTGGCCCCGGGCTCGCACCGGCACAGCGGAGCCCGGGACCAGCGGGAGGGGAGCCGCGGAGGGGGGGGGTCCTCCGATCGGCACCCCATACAAGCGATCCGCTGGCTCTATAGCCGGCGGATCGCTTGTATGTATACAGGCATTGCTGCCTGTTTTAAAATTTTGGTTGTTTCCTGCATGCGAGAGTGGGCGGGCCAGCAGGCCATTTATACACGGCCTGTTACATCCAGGAATCTCCCGGCCGGTCGTTCCTTTACAATTGCTGGCCGGGAGGTGGTTAATGACAGTTTACCGACACCTAGGAAAAAGCTTAGATTTTTATAACTTAGAATTTTTCATAATGTTTATGCTTGAATTCTGCTGTGAATTAGCATGATATTACATAGTTTCTTAACTGACTTCCCACATTCACATTATAGAAGTTTTTATATAGCTGTATATGAAGTCTGTCAGATATGGAAGCTTCAAATGTTCCTGTCCAGTGCACTTTTTTTTCTTTTACAATATTTATTCTTACCCATGGAGACTAATGAAAGGTTTCAATACTAAGACAAGCTCTAAAGCAGAACTTGGCATATTCAGTAATAAGAAACAGGTGGGCACCCTTGGGGCATTCAATAAATGTAGAAGAACTGGCACAGTCATTCAAGATCCATGTAGATAAAATTAAGTTGCAGCAAGTACTGCAT